GATGATCATACAGCAGCCGGCAAAGACGGCTGAATGACGAGACTGAAGCGAGGCGTAAAGGAAGCTTCGTCCGTCAGCCGGGAGCGCTGTCATGAAATCTTCTGACTTGAAGCTGACTGACCCTTCGACGAGTTTGTTTCCTGCTCGCATTTCGACGCTAATCTTTTTAAACTCTGTCTTCCGAGAACCGGCCGTTAAAGTGCTACTGCATTCAGCGTGTCTGCCACTCTGTCAGAGGGTAGGCGACAGCGAGTTTCATTCGTAGCGTAAAAAATACGGGGCGTTTCAGCATTTTTTCTTTAGTTGAAGTCAACCACGCTCAAGGCTGCTTGAATCTTCGACTTTAATGAGGAATTATTAAAGAATACGCTAGATGATCTTGAAATTTCTGTCGTAACACGTGCGAACAACGAAGAGATCCGCGAGGTTGTGAAACTTGGACTGTCAAAAGAGTGTTATCCTCTGAGTCCTAACCTCCAGGAATAATTTCCTCGAAGTAAAACCTGTAACGTCGCTCTTCAAACAAGAATTATGCGTAGATGGCAGTACTGTGAAGTACTTTACACATACATCAAAACTGCATTACTGAAAGTAGTATGGCTTCGACCTAGATGATAACAGAATTGTTGCAACCTTTACTATGTAGTACCCCTCTGTCTGAAGACATGATGGGACAGTTGCAAAGCGGTTATGTTTGAACTCCGGAGGTGCCGGGTTCGGATCCAATGAAGGGGCACTTTGTCCCTAAGGGAGATTCCTTTGAGTAATGAATTTATCAACCTTGCATTAGCATGGTTAATTGAGGAACGGTTAGTAATGCGATGACCATTCGCGAATGACGAAGACAGTGTGGTCATACCAGAATAGATTAGGTGTGCAGCAAACTGTCCGTTGCGAGCGCTCCTTGTGGGTGCTGCACACTTTCGCTATCCAGTGCAATAATTAACACAAGTCATGACCATAATTTCGATTTGTTTACCGACTGATATTCAGCTTCGGCAGCGGTGAATACCTTACAATCTGTAGTTTCGGTAGATTGGAATCGTGTCTTAGTTGGTGGTAGAAATAAGGAATAATGCTGCCGTTTTGTTCTGTTACCATGTGCTGAGATGTGATGGCTTCTCGAAAGTCTTATCTTAAGTCAAGCAGCAAATATTGATTTGAAGTTAAATTTTATCCTTACAACGGCAGAAGATTCAACTACTATCCAACATCTAAGCTGTATCATTTCTCGTTAGCCTATTTGAGTTGGTATGGATTTGCTGTGCCATTCGACTTATCCCGCATTCTCTGATCATTGGTTCAATCTTCGGTTATTCTGTGCAGCTTTACGTCCGTCAACATACTGCGGCACATTTGTTTTGGTTTTATCTTTTCTGGTACGGTAGGTGTTTCAGCCGCATTTGTTTCAAACTCGTTAGGTCCTCTTGCTACGTGTCCATAAATAGAGCCTGCTTTTAATAAGTTTATTTGCTATTAGAGATTACCCATGAGGATGCGTTCTGACTGGAAGCCATTTTTTGGCACTATAGATCCATCAGAGCAATCGCATTTTTGTGATGCCAAACATTCACTACTGTTTAGGTAGATTTTTTTAGTCTGGTGGTATTTGAATGTCGTAGAACGAGCCGCTCATTTCTGTTCGTTTCAACTGCGCTTTTTTAATCAAGTTCTTAATCCGCTGTCAATTTTCAGATTGGGCTGTGTGGTGCATTCAAGATACTGAAATGTAAGGTTTTAAACCGTTTACGTGTTAGCTCTCAACCACACGAACTCATTTTCTTGCCTCTGTTCCTCTTTGTCCGTCTTGGAAGACATTCCGTCTTGTTGCTGTGTCCAAAGTTTATTCTTCCAAAAACTGCTCTCTGCTCATCTGTTTTCGCTACACAGTACTACACCACATCGTCTGTATGGAACACAGATATTTAGTTGCTTCATGCAGGCTTTTAACTATTGCGTCACCATCAAGAACAGAATTGAACTCAGCGATGATGCGTGATGGACATCTGCTCGGAATTTCCTACAATAAATTCTTTAGCTTCACCGCAAGTACGCCTCTAACCGTTGCTTGTATGAGACTGACATACGGGTGGTGCAAATGGCTTGAAAGCTAATACATTGAAACCGCTGTAACATGAAAAGATGAGTTTTCTGATATTGTATCGTATAGGAATATGAACTTCATTCGAAATGTATCATGTGCATCAGTGAGTACACAGTCAGTGGATCGTGGACTCAATATGTTTTACACAGCAAGGTCGTTTCATCATTCTGAACCTTTGGGCATTGAAAATTGCGACAGATTCTGTACGGACAGAAGGGAAAGCAAAGCCCAGGTGATTTACACAACCCAGCAGTTAAACTTGCTAACTGGAGTGATCATGGAGAATTATTTTGCGCAGGGGCGCCGTTTCATCAAGGTTAAGCGAAACTCATGGAGCGAGTTTCATGTGTCAGCCCCAAGCAAGATCGTTGAAGGGTATTTTTTTTAGCAATCTTTGCCGAAATTCCATCGACTCGTGGCAAAGTCGTTTCGAAGTAAATATCGAACTGGTTGTCACACGAATAATGAACGTCTGTAGTCGAGCCTAGCAGGTAGAATTGTCCCCAAAAACAGCGTATGACTGCTGCACGATTGCCAGGTGAATTAATGAATGGAAACATAAAAAGTGGCTGGTTACAACCGCTGCCGCTGTGCGTCGTCGTCGCTTCGTATCGTCTCCCCTCGTTTAGCCTCGCCTCTTCTCTGACCGTTGACTCAGCACCACCAACAACGATGGTTCATGTTTCGAGATGGCGTTCTTTCAAACTAATAACCCATTCACTAAATCACGACCGGCTTACGTCAGCGTTGAACATAGCCAATGCGTCACGTTTCCTCGTAACAACTGTTTTGCCTTTAAATGTGCGTTCTTTGCGCCGCACAGACGTACGACATTGGTCATTGGGAGTGAAAGCGGAAAGCTTCGCTGATCGGTAAGACAGATTCCGCTTTTGAATGATTTGCTGAGGGTGAAAGGGGAGGGCGGAGTGATGAGCAGTAAGACGTCGTCATCCTTTCGCCCTCCTAGCGATGTTTCTTATGCATGAAGTGCAGTGTTCGAATCGCTTCTCGCATTTTGTCGCTCTGTTGGTTCTCTCTTTACTCCTAAAGGTTCCGAGGCTAAAATACTCATTCGTATTATCACGAATGACTCATGAATCGTATAGAAT